TTCTCTCCTCTCTCTCTGTGCTATTTTCTGCTCTCTCTCTTCTCTGTCTCTCTGCCTCGCTCTCTCTCTGTCTCACTGTCTCTCTCCTCTCTTTTCTCTCTCTCTCCTCTCTTCTCGCTCCACTCTCTCTTCTCTCTCTCTTTTCTCTCGTCTTCTCTTCTCTCTCTGTCTTCTCTTCTCCCTCTATGTTCTCTTCTCTCTCTGTGTTCTCATCTTCTCTTCTCTCTCTCTTCTCTCTTTCTTCTCTCTATCTCGCTTCTGTATCTCGCTTCTGTATCTCGCTTCTATCTCGCTTCTCTCTCTCCTCTCCCTTCTCTCTTTTCTCTTCTATGTCTTCTTTGTCTTTTCTCGCTCTCTTCTCTGTCTTCTCTCTCTTCTGTCTTCTCTCTCCTGTGTGTTCTCTCTCTACTCTTCTCTCTCTCCTCTCTCTCTGTTTCTCTCTTTTCTCTCTTTCTCTTCTCTCTCCTCTCTTTTCTATCTGTCTCCTCTCTTTTCTTTCTCTCTCCTCTCTACTCTTCTCTTCTCTCTGTCTGGTCTCTTCTCTCTCTCTCTCTCTTTTCTCTTCTAATCACTCTCTCTTCTCTCGCTCTTTTCTTTTCTCAGCTTTCTCTCTCTCTTCTCACTCTCTTCTCTCCTCTCTCTCTCGCCTCTCTCTCTCTCCACTCTTCTCTCTCTCCACTCACTCTCTCTCCACTCTTCTCTCTTTCTACTCTTCTCTCTCTCTACTCTTTTCTCTCTCTACTCTTCTCTCTCTCTTCTCCTCTTTCTCTCTCTTCTCTTCTTTCTCTCTCCCTCTCCTCTCTCTCTCTGCTCTCTCTCCCCTCTCTCTCTTCTCCCTCTCTTTTCTCGGTCTTTCTCTCTCTTCTCTCTCTCCTCTCCTCTTCTCTCTCTGTCTCTGTTCTCTTCTCTCTCTCTGTTCTCTCTCTCTCTGTTCTCTCCCTCTCTTTTCTTTCCATCACACACTGTTCTCTCTCTCTGTCTGTTCTCTCTCTCGCTCCTGTCTCTCTCACTCTCCTCTTTCTCTCACTTCTCTCTCACTTCTCTCTCTCTCGCTTCTCTCTTCTCTCTCTTCACTGTCTTCTCTCTCTTCACTGTCTTCTCTCTCTTCTCTGTCCTCTCTCTCTTCTGTCTTCTCTCTCTACTGTCCTCTTTCTTCTATCTCCTCTCTCTCTGCTCTTCTCTCTCTCTCGCTTCTCTCTCTCTCGCTTGTCTCTCTCTCTCTGTTCTCTCCCTGTGTCTGTTCTCTCCCTCTCTCTCTCTGTTCTCTGTCACTCTCTGTTTTCTCTCACTGTCTGTTCTCTCCCTCTCTTTTCTTTCCCTCACACACTGTTCTCTCTCTCCCTCTGTTCTCTCTCTCGCTTTCTTTCTCACTCTCTCTCTCTCACTATCTCTCTCGCTCTCCACTCTCTTCTCTCTCTTCTGTCCTCTCTCTCTCTACTCTTGTCTCTCTCTCCTCTCTCTACCTCTCTTCTCCTCGGTCTCTCACTCTTCTCCTCTCTCTCGCTTCTCTCTCTCGCACTTCTCTCTCTCGCTTCCCTCTCTCGCTTCTCTCTCTCGCTATTCTCCTCACTGTCTTCTTTGTCTTTTCTCTCTCTCTTTGTCTTCTCTCTCTCTCTCTTCTTTGCTTCTCTCTCTCTTCTTTGTCTTCTCTCTCTCTCTCTTCTTTGTCTTCTGTCTTCTCTCTCTCTGCTCCCTTCTCTCTGTCTCTGCTTCCTTCT